TTGTTTCTCTCTCTGCTTATATATATTTATGGATATATGGTATTTATATGACAGATTCTAGAAGAAAAGTTTGTTTACTTAGTGTAAGGATAGATTTTGTTTTTCAAGCAATGCATATTAGACTCCCTAGTGATATGGAAACTTTGCTCAGGTATTGATCTATAACTATTAAAATTGAAGATTCATGGAATATTCAAGTAGTTCTGTCCGCTTTTCTCGTACCAAGACTGGTCAAATTCTGGAAGTAGTTTGACATTGTCACTCCGTTACTCGCTCATCAAGTAATGTTTCAAAGTTTTGAAATTCATGATGTTCTTAGTTGATATTTTGGTATTGTGCTACTAGTGTAGAAAGTTTCAACGACTAAATAAATATGTTTAGGTTAGAAAATGCCAGCAAGATTTTCGGATGAATGACTTGAGCTTGTAAAGATATCATTGAGAAATATCGCGATATTTCATTAGAACATTCTCGTTTTTACATAAATCCTTTTGTTCTAATTATATACATGCTATGGAAAATGAGATATGTATAGATCATTGAGTTTCAAACTTTTTCATACAACAATTTTTTTCACGTTAGATACATGATACTTTATTCCTATAATATTTTTTTCTAATTATTTTGCAGTAGAGTTTCGACGACAATATTTTTCCTGTCGGTAATTTCTGGTACTTATTTGTGACAACCATCGATGTCGAGTGTACGATCTTTGGGATTAATAAACGACGTCTATTTTCTTGTCCGAATGAGAACGACCTCACTGAATAGTAGTATTGACGATGATGTTGCTCCGGCAAATGCACCAGAAATTTCAATGCCTCGATCGGTTCGTTTTTGGCTTCTACTCGTATTTGAAGTACCAGGGCTTGCTTGTACTCTCTTTCTTCTTTTTCACCTACTTACGGATCGATCGTTACGCGCAGCATTGCACAATCATGTGGTCATTCTTTTTCTGTTTGCTGCACTGATTACACAGCTCATCGATATTCCTGCCTATCTTGTTTTTGCTCATTTGGGTCATGTCTGGCCAAAGAGTCAATTCTTTTGTAAGCTTTGGTGGTTTATCAATGTAGGTGTATTTCTCATAACAAGTATTTTAATGGCCTATGCCTCTATTGAAAGACATATTTTGGTATTCTACGATAAGCTCGTATCCACCCCAAGAAGACGCATTCTCTTTCATTATCTTCCACTTTCTGGACTCATTCTTTATGGCCTCATATTCTACACTATTGTCATATTCTTTCCAAGTTGTGAGCAAGTATATGACTATAGTCAAGCTTGGTGTTCATACCCATGTTATTTTGATCAAACGGCACTTTCGATTTATGATTCCGTCGGAAATTCTATCTCGTCAATTTTCTTCACTATGTTCTTCAGTATTGCTCTCCTTGTACGTATTATATATCAGAAACGTCGTTTTCGTCAGCCTATTAGATGGCGCAAACATCGAAAAATGACGATTCAATTGCTTTCAATAGTATCATTATATCTCTTTATCAATTTGCCTGTGCCAGTTTTCATCTTTGCACATTTATGCGGGTTACCACTAGATGCTGGTTTAGAAATTCAACTTTATGCATATTTTTTGTGCTATTTTATTCCTCTTCTATTGCCTTACGTGTGTCTCAGTTCATTGCCGGAAGTACGAAAAAAGCTAGGAATGATACGTCCAGGATGGCAAACAATATTGCAACAACGTACAGCAACTATTGCACCTACCAACGTCCAGCGTTTAACCGTTGCTGTACCATAAATTTTGTAGCAAGTATGAACATAGTCTATTTTCTAATCATACAGTAGATCCATAATTCACAGTCTTTCTGTATAATCTGCTTAGATATAAGTTCGTCAATACCAATGTAACCATTACAAACAATTACTCTACGAACGCTAAAATAGCTTTATCTTCAAATTCTCCTTCTTGGCACTTTTATTCAAGCAATTAATCATGCTATTTTTTTTGTACAACGGCTTCGGACAGACTTCTTAATGATCCTTGCGTCGAGGTTCTAGAGAACATTTACATTAATACTGAATGATTAACTTGTCTTTTTTCTTTCAAGTCTTCGAACAGTTTGTATTTTCCGTGATTTTCAAAAAACAAAAAAAATCATTAGGATATTGTCTTGTGCGCTTACATGTTTACTTGTAAAAGATATCGCTAACTTTTATCACTGTGCAGCAGATTTTCATTTCTATAATAAAGATTTCATTTTCAGCTAAAACAAATCTCTCATGGACATATACAAATTCTTCAATGAAACTGCAGGAAGACTCATATTAGAAAGTTATATTGTTTGATTGGCAGAACTCTACAAAAGTGTTCATGTACCTCATTCTGATTCATGTACGTTTTATTTTCAGAGCACTTTCATCGTATGCTTCTCTGAACATGAATGTAAAATGAAGTGTCAGAAATCTTGACGTTGCTTCTCTTATTTATTTAGACACAAGAACAATGCTTCAATGATAGGCAACAACTAATTTAATTCGACACTTTGCAGTGTTCACTGTTTTCAAAAATATCTCTTCAGGATGTGCGCTACCGTTTTGTGACAAGAAAGATAATTTGAGTATTTCCAATGTGTGGCGCATTTATCGTAGCAATGGACGAAAACTAGACTCTTCTATACTAGAAAGAATCTTCCTAGTCGAAATTACATGAAGGGTACCACATAAAACTGAATATTAAGATCGAAGTAGTTTTTTTAACCAAATCAAATGTTTCAACTCTGATGGAAAATAAATATAACAAACCCATAGAAGTGTTTCAAGCTTGCATATTATTTTATCAATTCACTGAATTCTATTCTCTTACAAAGCAGTCATAAAGATTTGTTGAGAATCTTGGTCGCGATGCTTAACTTTTTAAAGGTTCCATTTGGTTATCACTAAATCATCAAAGCTTCTAGAAATTTTATAAAACAACTCGATATAAAGAAAAATGTTTCAAGTGTTTAGAATAGCTCTATCTCGTACCATTCTTTGAAATTCTTCACTCTTTTTGAGAAAGATGATTCTAACGTAACTTGTTTGAACTACACTGAGAAAAAAGGTGCCAAACGAATTCTCCGAAGTTTCAGAGAACTTTCGTCTATGGTGCAAATGCACGAAACTTCACTAAGTTTCGTGGCTGCATAGATCGAGAATAAAATGGCTAAAAGGTTAGACATAACAATCAAGGATTAACCCTAGAATTAAGATCTTAGATATAGACATTAAGGGGTTATATATAAAATTTAAAAACTAAAAATACGAATAAGGAATTATATCTAGGCGTAAGGTGTTAGATATAGAAAAATGAGATTATTTATAGAACTTAGATATTAAGAACAAAAATACGGGGTTAAATATAGGAATAATGGGTCGAGTATAGAATTAATCGGCAGTAATAGAATATATGTGTTGAATGGACTGCTATTTGCCAGGAGAGAAGCTTTTTTTGGAAGAAGAAAAAAAAAGCTTGAGATAGCTGTAGTTTGTCGGAACCCTAAAACGTTTAATAGGACACCTGTTTATTTATAGAATGAAATTGGATAAGACTAACGAGGCGAAAGCCGAAAGAATCGATATTGTTACATGAAATTTAAACTATCAAATATCGAATCAGGTCATCTAAAATCGTTGATTTGACCGTTTTTTTTGAGAGCTATATCCTTTCTGCATTTTTCAACACAGACTACTATAATAGTTAGCTAAAGTACCAATAATATGATGTTATAGCAGAATTTCTTCATATCATAAGGAAACTCAGATCATTCGAAAAATTTGATAAAAAGTGGCTCTTTGAAAAAGTTGAGTTCACCTATTTGCATTCCTAGTTCGAACAAACGGGCTTATTTTTCCTCATTCAACGTCAAAAATTGATTACAGAAGATTTCACAGTTATTTTCGCTGATAAATATATATCCGGCACGCACGTAGGTATGGACCACTGCCATAAATCATCTTGTTAAACTATCTACCTTTTTTCGATTATTTGACCTGCCATTTAGCGTAGAATAAAGCTACGAGTGTCTTTTTTCCGAAACTTCTTTGTGTTGCTGAGAAAAACGGCTTTTTACTAAACTAGTAGCGGAAAGGCTTCAGTTTGTCTGTTACGTTTCTTTTCAGCAAAACACAAACATACGCTAAATGATTTGAGAACGTATGGCAGACGACGCAGTTTTACATAGGCATCCTAAATATACCATATAGTTTACGTCAAAATAGAATTTTGAGGAAGAAAATAGAGATCTAAGGGTGTAAGTCTAATCATTTCACCCTCAGTTTGGTAAGAAAAGTCATTTTTCTCAGCAACATAAAGGAATTCCGGAAAAACAGTTGCTCGTAGAGTTGTTCTATCACGCCGGGCATATATTTAACTGTGGAAATAACTTTGAAAACTTGTGTAATCAAATTTTTGACGCTAAATAAGAAAAAATGGGTCCAATTGTTCGAACTAGGAACGAAAATGAAAAAAATCAATTTTTACGGAAAGAGTGTCTTTTTATCAAATTTTTGGGTTATTTGATTTTTCCACATAAAAAAGCATAATGAAAAATGAAAATTTACACATGTTTAATCCATTTGAGGTACTATATCATATGGTATGAAGAAACTGTGCTTCAATTTTGCATTATATGCAGTTTCTATTCAATTTTGAAAACCATTTTTAAACAAAGGCTGTACTACTGTATAGAAATCTAGAACTAATTAGATACACATGTATTCATACTTCCAGAGAACTATGGTATGTTATCTATCTCTTTCTATTCACTAACAAAAAAAGTTCTTTTTGTCAATTCGACGAACAGTTCTGAATTCCAATACTTATTAGAAAAATATACAACAGATCTCCTGAACTTTACAGGTCCATTACTCAACTACATTAACATTTTACGGATGTGCGATATGATTGTGAGTAGTCTCCTCATCCATCCACACCTACACGCTAATTCACTATTATCAAGTGTGAACAATGATAAATATTGGGAATATATGAAATATTTTCTTTAAGCAAAAATTACAAAAAATAGTCCGAAAAATAAAGTAAACAGCATTTTTGTATCAAATATGAACGTGTTGCTAGAGTTAATCGTATCTTTTTCTACTTCTAAATTAATCAAACGTCCTATTTCAGTTGCAATTATTGGACTATTGCAATTGTCGATATTGCACACATAATTGAGTATATCATATCTCTTTAGATCAGTTGAAAACGTTGCCGATGTTTTGGATCGATGAGTTTGAAAGAAAATCATTTGTTGATTAGTTAAGCTTGATTGACAATGATAATCCGGTTTTCCAGCATTAAATTGTGGGTTTCGATTATAGCGACAAATATCTCCATTTGTACAATTTTGTACCATTGTCTCACTCATATAACATTGTAAATTTTTCGATGAAGGTGAAAAAATTAGTGAAGAAATTTTGTCGAACATATTCCAAGTTTTATTTTGAATAATTTCTAAAAGATGAATATCCATATAATTTCTATCACATTCATCATTAGTCGCACAAAAAATGATCCAAGTAGCTTTCAACACTTGTTTACGCTGAAAATTATATGTTGTTTCACGTACTTCCATTTCCATTCCAGGTTCTAATTTGATACCATCTGACATATCACCATGATCACCATGAGAGTCAAATGCGCCTGAAACAGTACGGCTTTCGTAATCGATATTTAATTCAACATGACAAACAGAATTTTGAAAACGTGTTTGACATTGCTGTGGAAGAAAAAATGGTGATAATTGGTCGAATGAAACAGAAAAAGAACATTGAGCAATACATCGATATTCTTTTTCATTTATTTGTTCATGCCCGCCATGATCGATTGCAACTTCGTTAAAGTTCTTGGCAACAATGACAGTGCAAAGAACACAAAGGACGCAGCATGTAAAAATATTCATTCTTTCTTGTTGTTTCAACTGTTAGAATGACATAAAGTCATATAAGAGTCGCATCGTGCCGCTGTTATCTTATCATATGCACATATCTAGTTTAAAACACGAACATATACATGGTAAACAAAGATTGGAACTGTTAACATATACTGTTCTTTTCATTGTGCGATACTTTTATCTAAAAGAATATATGAAACCCAGCGTGTGCTCAGGTTGTTATGGAGAATAAACATGAAAGTTGAAACATTTTGGTCATAATTTCTATCAAACGAATATGTAGACCACGATTAGAACAGTTTTGATTGAGCACAAAGAACATCGGTACATTTATCATTGTTCAAATTGAGTCGATAGGCTCTTAACATTTGACACGAAGTGATCAAAGAAAAGTTCGAAAAGATTTTTTGAATTTTCGTCAAGTCGAATGAAAATACTTTGTTTATCGATTAAATAATGCTGAAATATTCTTTATCCGACTTGATAAAATTCAATGACAATCGGACTCTAATTTTACAGAACACTAAAGAAGATCATTTTTATTCTTGATTCCAAATCGAATGAGAAGAGACGAATAAAACGTATCAATTACAATATGATATTTCCTTACACTTCAGAGCTCCAATGGAATGGAAAAAACTCTGGCCAGATGGGTGTGGACGTGATGTCGATATTCTCTTTACAACTCCCACCCCCATCCACATTCTTTTTGTCTTTGACTTTAATTTAGCTCATAGATGATATGTAAAGTATGAGTACATTATGTTACCAAGATATATTGCAATGAAAAATTATCAAGAACTTTTTAGCTTACGTATTTGCTATGGTTCTACAATAAATGTCTTCTTGTGGAAATCGGTGCTCAAAAAAATTAATATCTTGATTTGCTCGTTCATAATAATACTTTCGAATACAATCTTCGCATGTCTATCTGAGTCTATGATAATTCTCAGTAATATTATCATCAAGATTTAATATACTAGTTCTTTAGAAAATAAATTTATAATCAGGAATATTCGAAGAATTCAAGATTGAGGTAGATAGTGACCTGGATAAAAAGATATAAAGGGGGTTTTACAACAATATTCATAGAGATATTACAAAATAATAAAAATATCGATTTCCTTTCATCACGAAAGTTGACACTTTTGTGAAACACAGTGTACAGGGAGTATTGAAAGAACGGAGATGAAATCGGATCGACCATTTGTCTGCTCCTTCGCACAGACTCTGTACAGCATTTCTCGAGGACAAAGTGAAAAGTGAGTAAACAAATGTAGTTCAAAGTAGATAGAATAAAATAATTTCCCAGTGATAAGCAACAGCTTCTATATTATGTTTTACGTTTTAAGAAATAGAAAAAATAAATGAAGTTAATTATTACGAAGAGGAATAGTTGTAGTATGTAGTTCTTTTCTTCACCCACAGCCTCGATCTATATCCATACGATATACCTAGACTCATACCCATTACCACCACAAAACAATGTGTCGTATTAACAACACACGTCCTCGTCGTCCAATCTATTTTCTCAGATCAAAAGATTCCAATGAAATTATGCATCTTGTGTTGAGAACTATTCTCGAAAAATTTTCTATATTGAACATAAAATGAATGATTTAATCAAATTAGAGAAACGATGTTCATTCATATTGTACATTGAATAAATAGTGTCGAGTTTTAGTTAATCACTTAAACCAAACTATATTAGCGATCTGAATATCTGGTATTGTAAAACAAACGTAAAGACAAATGTTGATGAATGAAATATGTCCATCTGAAGTCATATGTTTCATTTATTTTGATTTAATGATCTTACTTGATCGTAGCGACAGCTGATCCAACAGTTCGTCGTTGACGATAGCGTTGGATTACCTTAAGACCTATTTTAACTGGAATTGGAACGAGAATTCGAAGCGCAACTTTTAGTCCTCCGCATAATCCCATAACAATATTCACAATAAAAACAACACTAAATTTTCGATAACGTGAATAGGTACACGACAGTGGCCCACATGCAGAATAGTATCGATCATAGAAAATACTCGTTTCCCACCAATCGACCATAAGCCTATCGATTAGGGATTGGACGGTAGCATTACTATTCGAGAGTGTCAAATTAAGGGCTTGGATAGTGATATTAGACATTTGATATATTGACTGAAGTCTTTCTATACATATCGTATTGTAGAGACATTCAAGTGTCGATTGTAGAAGTGCTTCAAACGGAGAACATCCAATACGAAATCCAGGCACATGCCATCCGTCTATAATTGCCGGTTCACTACACGTAGCGTTTGTTCCACATGAACAATTTGTGGTATCGTATGATCGAGGTTCAGTCCATAATGGAGTAAACGTATACTCTGCTTCTAATACTGGAAAGTACCAATTAGACAATGTTGATGACATGATTCCATTACCTTGTGCTATATTACGAATTAAATCGAATGTTCCAACAAAAGTGCGAGAAGTCGATGAGCGATATTGATTAAGAACGGCATTAGCTTCCATGTGAATTGTCTCACGAGATTGAACTCGACTAGTGAAAAGTGTATTCGACAAGAAGAATGTTAATGTGTCGTTGATTGTCTGATTAGCAAGTGCACACAAAGAGACAAGCCATTTAAATTGAGGCACAACAAAGAGACGATAGTCGTCATATGTGTAATTGAAACTTGCCCAACGAAAGTACAACATATTGGTCCATTTGTTATTTGAGACAAAATCACTGAAACAAAGTTGATGATAGTGAGGAAAAATTGAAACGAATGAACTATATGGAATTGTGATATTTTGACACGGACAATCAAGAGTGGAATCCATTCTGAGTTTGTCGAATATGACCAGTGATGGTTGATCAATTTTGATAAGTTCTGTATGAGTATTCAATGATGTATATGTAACGAGAATAGTAATACATACAATAAACAAGAGAAAATAGAGGCGAGTAGCAACAATTTGTGAATGACGATGTTGATCATCAAACCAGGCTGCTTCAGTTTCGAATAGATTCAGATCAAATATTTTTCTTTTCAGGTTACGTATCACTTGACACAATTTTGTGATGAAATCAGACTGATCTAGATCAAAAACAGAGTCAAAAATACCTCAAGAAATCTTTACATTTAATAAGCAAATCTCGATATAGCTTAGGTACCGGCATTATACAATAACATGTTTTTCACTAACCTGCTATCATATTTCGATTTGTTTCTTGTTGCAATCTATTTCGAATGAATTTAACGATGGTTGGTACCAAAAATCTCAATGCAGCTGATAGTCCACCGACGAGTGCCAGTAATGTCGTTAATACGTACAGAGCATTATTTCGCAATGGGATAGTATATGAACACAATTTCGGTTCACAATACGCGTAGTATTGTCTGTAATTAATATTTTCACGCCATTGTTCGATCATCAATGCATCGATTATATTGGCAATGATTGTCTGTGGTTGGAATCGAGTGGCATTGTTTTCAAGAATTGAAATATTTATAGATTGCTCTGAATTTAAATTGCTTTGTACAACATCGAGACACGTTTGATTGAAGAAACATTCGAGTGAGGATTGACGAACACCTTCAATGATAGAACAACCAATGAAAAACTTCGGCACATTAAAATTCAATTCTATTGAGTAAGATGTATCGCTGGATGTATAATTGTAGAAACCAACAGTATTTTGACAGTTGCCTACTAAAGCACATGAACAGTTTCCTAATTGTTGTGGTATTGAATTTAATAGGTATTTCATGGGTTCTAGGGTGATATATGGATTTCTCAGAAGATCAGCATTGGTTCGTGCAGTTGAAAAAACACTTTGCGCGTGTATGTCAATCAATCTAAGAGCTCGTTTTGATTGATCCACCGTATCCAGTTTGAATTGATTCAATATAGCCTCAATACGTGTCAACAGTTCATTCTCGGATACTGCTTGACTTGTAACTAATATGGATTGATTGAAAACCTGCCATGCATCGGATACAATCGTTTGTGACAATGAACAAAAGGAGGCCAATGTAGCAAAGAACGCTGGAGCTGCCACACGAAAGTCTTGGAAATTTGTAAAATCGCCCCCATAAAAGGAACCTTGTGTTGATTTAATCCAATCATCACCAATAAACGCACTCGAACAGACACGATGAAAGTGAGGAGAAAGCGAAATAAACTTATTGTGTTCAATAGCTATTCGACTACATGGACAGAACAATGTTGATGAGTATTTTGCGTAAAGATTTTCATGGACCGCTAGAGATGGTGATTTGATAATGACAGTTTTTATTTCTATATTTGACGCACCGTAAATCACGAGAGTAATGACAGATAGACAAAGAAGAATGAAATAAATCCGAGTTGCAATCAATTGCGTCATCATATCAAAAAAATTTGATCGCGTACTAGCATCTTTAAAGAGATTCATTGTACACAATTGGATCCGAACCCACCGGAATGCTTTTCGTAGACGCTCAGCTAGAGATATAACTACGAAAAGATTAAAACAAAAACGATACTTTATAGTAAAACGCATACAAACTTACTATCATTGACTTCTTCGTTTGCTTCAAGTTTTCGCGTACGCCACCAAGACACCAGGGCTGGTACGAAAAGACGAAGAGCAATAGTGAGACCACCATAAAGACCGAGAAGAGTAGTCAATAGGTAAACAAAATTGTTGTGTCTTTGGTATGTAAATGTACATGATGTAGGAGCACATCGGGCAAGATAGGCAGCATATGAAATTGTTGAGGATAGGTCTTCGATGAAAAGCTCGGTGACAAGTTTTTCAATGGAAGTTTGAGGCGAAAAATGTGTTTGAGTGTCAATAGAAAGAGCATGAATAAGTAATGATGAAGTCGAAGGAAAAAATCTTAGGACGGTCTGTAAACACTCCGAATCAAAAAAACATTCGAGTGTTGAACCGAAAAGCGATTCGATTGCATAACATCCGACTAAAAATCCAGTCACATTAGCTATGGGATGATCACGCACGCTGAACAAGCCTGGTTGACTGTTAGGAAGAGAATTAAAAAAGCCAGAGGGCAAAGTACAATTAGGTTCATTGCTACAGGAACATTGTTGATCGTCTTCATCGTAATAGGAACCACCAGTTTGACCTACGATGACACTATTATCAGATTCGAAAAAAAGAATATTGGTAACTGTTGTTTGTAATGCCGGTTGTAATCGATTGCTGTGAGTCGAGCTACGTATGAGACTAAGAAGACGACGAAAATTGCGGGTTGCTGAAGTACGCATGAAGTCGATTCGAACTTGAATTTGTGCTGTGATCAAATTAGCACTAAGTACTTGTGTAGTGAGCAGAGTGTTCGAGAGAAAGTCGTCCACCGCATCACTTAATGTTCGCTTGGCATGAGCACACAATGCAGCAAGCAATTGAAATTGACCACTAGCTGATGAACGAAAGTCGAGTGGAAAAAAATGGCTGATGTTCGAACTGAACAAAAGGCGAATCCATTCATCAGATATGAGAAAACTCGAACATACGAGATTATAGCGTGGTGAAATCGACACGAAAGAACCGTGATCGATCGCAATTCGACTGCATGGACATGACAAAGTGTTAGAATAGTGGTTGAATAACTCTTCGACGAGAGCTTGAGACGGATTTTGGATAGTAACAGTTTGGTTTTGACCAGTCCATGATATAAATATAACGAGGATGAATACGGACAACGTCAATAGAACAATATAGAAACGAGTTGAGAGCAATGCAGTACGCAAGTGGAAAGGATTGGATCGGATGGTTTCATTTTCAAAGAGATTCAACGCTTTAATTTCTTCTCGGAACCAACGAGCAAGAGCAGCTATGGGCATCATTGGTTGTTGAAAGTTGAGAAGTAATATTTAGTAATGTAGACAAAAAATGATTTATCTTCCACGGAGAATTTCAACTAAAAATGTGAAAAATGATTAATGCAACAAAACAACATGTTCTCTAAACAGCGGATTCAAACAGTAATTTACTCTTTGAGTCATTATTTGAACTATAAACATTGACGTTAAGATTAATCTAACAAATGTAACAAAGAAAGAATCTTTTTATCAATAATATCTCAGCTAAATCTTCTTGTTCGATTCGATTATTATCCTAGTGTCCAACTTTAGAGAGAGTGAGAGAGTACCTACGGTATGTCCATATGATTCAAAAAAAATACTAGCGAGATGTCAACAAACTTTTTAGTGATAGATTCTGAATGATTTTACATTAGGCGAGAATATCTATTTTTTCCGAAAAAGACAGTCCCGTCTCTATAAGTTCAATTATTTTTGGAATACATATAGAACTCGGACTAGTTCGACGTCATTTTCTCTTACCTAAAAGGAGGATTAATAAGAACAATGAATTGTCGTACGTAACAAACTTAGTTGGGTCTTAATTCTATGAACAATCTTTCTTAGAAAACGAAGTTACTTCTCTTGTTGACTGATGATAGCATAAAATGATATCTTTGTTTTTTTTTAAATTTCATTTCATGATGAAATATCAATCTCGTTTTTAATTACTTTCTAAGTGCTATTCTTCAAGAGTTTTCAGAATAATAGTTATTCAAAAATGATTTCTTATTGTCGCTAGCTTGTGATAGACGTGTAAGGAAATAGAAAAATATTATATGATGGAAAATTATTGAATCATTCGAGCAAAATTCTCTTCACTATTGTTTTAATCATTTCACGACCATATTGTTTGTAATGCAAGATAATGTCTTATAAGAAATTTATGGATTGCATTAGATAATTCTTTTTCTGTCTGCAGATCCCAGGACAGAAATTTATTTACTTAACTGATGCTTTATTTCAACATACGAATCAAAGGATCATTCGTGTATACTTCATTATTGATGATAGCATTATTTCACTCGAAGTGAGTTAGTTGTTGAATGTTATCACTACTGATCATCAATATGTCGAGAATACCAATGCCCAAGTGACAGATCTAATGAAGCATGCTAAAGCTCCAATAAATTGCTTATCAACTACTGCCTGTTGTAAGAAAAACAGTATTGACCTGAAATGACCAATATTGTTTTGAGTGTTGTTACCGAATAGTAATCGAAATGTTATTAGAAAACTCTCTATAACGATAACCAATGTATTGATAGCCGTCATAACTTCGTGGCGGAGATTGATGAATCTCTACTACGTACTAATAAGAATAATTTTTTTCTTCAAGTATGTTCCATAGAGTGAGACAAGTGCATCTTTGAAGCAAAGAGTTGCACATAAACCAACAACTGTCGTTTTGATGATGAAGAAATATTTTCTCTTTCTTTTATCTGAAACGATGTAATCAACGAGTTTCTCATATGAAATTTATATATGTGTATTGACAAAAAGAATTGTTGAGAAGTGCAGAAAAAACTTTGTCGACCAACTGTTTTGTGTTTACTGTGAACTAGCAATATTAGCCAAAATAATTCTATAACATCAATGTAACAATATCTGGATTAATTCAGACAATGTTACTAATGATACAATTAGTAAGATCATACAAATAAAATAAGTTAAATAATATAGAATAGTCGACATGTACTTTCTCAGGGAAAAGAGGTACAGAGAAAAGCATCAAAAATTTGTTGAATGCCATCAGTAACCAACCTGGCATGCAGATATGGATGTGGACGTGATTTTTTTCGTCACTCAAACTGATACCCTCGTTTCTTTACTTACTAAATAATACCGTTATATATCTCACCTATAATAGTTTGAATAAAAACCCATAAGCGGAATGAATATATCATATACTTGTCGCATGCTTGATTGATGTTCGTTTCTTTTTCTTTCTTCTGCATTCAATTTACCTAAGATGAAAGACATATCATCGTATTGATAATAGTGTTCAAGAAAAAAGTATGCATCTGAGTAAATTGAAATATTTCTTTATCATATTCGATATCTATGTAACACAGCAAAAGTGTTCCAATATTTTACTGTATAACCGAAATTCTACTTGTGAAATTCATTTTTAATCTACGATCGACGTTTTCAGCAGCAGTGAAACAGTTTTCTAAAATGAAATAAATTCAATAATATAAGATGCAACCCATATCGACTTACTGTCTAGTCAAACAAAAGATAAATAAATGCGTGTAACATGTTAATATGTCTACTTTTCATACTTTAAAGAAGGTTCTTTTTTGAATCAAAAACGAATCTGAAGACGATGATATATATAAACTTGTTTTCTACAAAACTAATCTCGTTTTCTTTTTACCGTTTTTTTTCCATGTAAAAACATACATTTTAATGCAATAAAATCTCTTAAAATGAGCTGTGTCTAAATGAGTATTCCTTGAAATATCATATGAAAAATGTCGTGACTGTGGTATGGTTATCGCTTAAGGTTTGAGTAGATATCTACACACCCAAATTATTGCAGTTTTTCCTCGCGAACTTGTTACAAGAGAAAGGTTTTTATTAGAAAAATCATACAATCATATAGAGAAAATATCGTTCTACTACCAATCGTTGAACTATAGAGTTGAAATGTTTTCGACTGCATTGTTCTATATTTGTTTTCATGTGATACAAGCCTCATTTCCGTCGGTTGTTAATTTATTAATCATTTCCAATGGAAAAAATGAATAATAATTGTTTAGAACATGAAACTTTTTAGTTAGTTTGTGTTGGATCACAACTCTTTCACCGCATCGACAGGTAATGTATATATTTCGAAGACAAATTGATATATTTATTATTTCTTAAATGCCACTCATTAAAAAAATATTCCGATGCAAAATGAAGAATATTTTATAGCTCTTCAGCATAAAACAAGTCCGTTATTACTAGATAATCACCTATGATAAACCACAGTCTTGAGTAGACAGCCGCCAGTTTTGCTGAACCATATATTTAAATCCATTTACAATCATATTATAATATGCATTATTGGATAATAGAGATGCGCTTCCGAATGTCCAAGCACATTTATCAGCATTTTCTTCACAATTTGAGTCATACCAAGCATTGATATATGGATCTGACACTGTTTCAGATGCTTCATGAGCGATAACACTAACCATTGCATCGGCTGCGAAGTTGCCATTTGGTGACACCAGTTGTATTGAACAACGTTTTGGACATAGTTGCTCGGAATTTCCTACCCATGAATATTTCAAATTAGTTGAATTATCGAAATCATGCCAACCACATGCTGTCCAACAAAACCATTCTTCGGTACAATCGGCAGAAGTTAACACGAAATATATTCCATTTGTATCATTTGGCAATGCCATAGAGTTAATGGCTAGTTTGACAATAGCAAGTACAAGTGATTGCGTCAAACGTTTTCCTTGCGAATAGCTATCTGTTGTTGATCCACCAAATATTATTGGTGATGTATTATTATAAGCTCTAGTTATATTCCACCATAGAGTTGAGCCAAGACCTATTAGAAAGTTTTCTATAATTGTTGTTCCATTATTTGCAGTCCAGTTCCCATACCAAATTACATAGACAACTGGATTATTCATAACAGGGCCTCCATGATAAGTTATCGGTAATACAGAGGAGCGAGCAATGGACGCTTTTTGGTCAACATCCAAAATTCTCGTTAAACCAACATCAGTAGAACACGAAGCTAAACAAAAAGCTTGCAACATAGTCTCCATGTGATCAAAACATACAACATAATGAATTTGTTACACTCGTTGATAACAGCTCTAGCCATTTCAATGAGCCCTACACACAAAGCGTTTTTCAAGTGTAAGTGTGTTTGTGAATGTCGATCTTCTCTTCGCTCACACTCAAATAGCTGAAGCAAACAGCGGCAAAAGCGAAACCCCCTTAGTCTACCTTATAGGTTGTGCCGAACATGTTGGTAATTTCTTATGAATGTTGAAAAAGTCATCTAACAGTCACAAATTGTGACAGACATTTCAAAATTCTGTCCTTTTAGCTACCATATATTAGTAGCATATTCTGACAGGTTATCCATGTTCACAGTATAATAAAAAACAATAATAGTTGGCTATCTTTATTACTAAATATCCTGTACATTGTATTTTGGCCATGATCTCTATTTATCATACATCTTTTTCTGTAAAACAGCTCAAATTAGTTATAGATGCATACGATCTGATAAAGCTCAGAACATGCTATAAAGTGTACTATACTTTATTCGAACAAGACTATAGAAATCATACATGCCGGTTGACAGGCATCTACAGACTACCAAATGAGACTGATATGACTGATTTCCAAGGTCTCCTTCAAAAGGAAAAACGAGACTATAGACAAAACGAATGAACTTTGTAAAAACTAGAGTAAATTTGCAAAGAATTTTTCTTTTCGATTATATCAGTACCATCATATTTAGCATTTTAATATTGTACAGATGGCGCAGGAAGTTTTTTTTTAAGAATCTACCGTTCTAAATATTTTTTGAATATATTTTGATCCTATCATGATTCGTAATCGATTTCGCATTGGTCTGTTGGAGCATGTTTCTTTTTCTATTAAAAACTTTGAAAAGAGTAACTGTAAGGTGGATACATTAAGTTTTATTGGCACTCGTAATACATCGGCAGTGCGAATCTGTAGTACACTCAAATATACTTAGAACTTTTAAACAGTTTAAAATTTCAAATAGCATTCCTAGTTAACATTGCATACTTATCGACGTTGATACTGACTTGCGTAGACCGAGACCGAGACCAATGCCAAGACCAAGGCTAACAGCGACACATATACAGATAGTCATCACAATTATCGTCTTGCCAGATATCATTATATGTAAACACATTTCTATTGACTAGAAAACAGAATAAAATGATATTGAGAACTTTTCATGGACAGTCACTTCACTATGTTGAAGTGGAATAAATTAGAAAAGTCGTTTTTAAAATTCTGCTCTTTGTGCATTCGTTGGTAGCATATAGGAATGAGTATGAATAAAGAAGAGACAAACTTGTGTAAACATCGAGTGCAAAATCGACGTATTAAAACGCGACTTCATATGAAACCTCATAAGGATCATGAACGAGAGCTATTCTTGGGAAGAGTTTTAGACGGACAATCATTATTTTAATTCTTCTCATGGTATCCTTCAAACTATTGACAGTTCCTAAAGATATCCATAACTCGAGAAAAAAGTCCTAATGGCACGGACTCTTCGAGAGTTCTATCTCGACTGTGATGCCTAACGTAGGAGCAAAATATGAGCTCAATCGGAGAATATCACTTGAATGCGTTCTCCGTGCGACATTCAGATATTTCGACAGAAATATCGTGTATGTTTGTGTTTCGTGTTACCCATAATGAGAGAGATGTGGCGTGTTTGTTTCCGTGGAATTCATAACGAGAGAAATGCTGTGCGTTTGTGCTTGCGTGAAAAACGCAATTAGAGAAACGTGGCGTGTTTATTTTTGCGACAGTCACAACGAGAGAAATATCGTGTATTTGTGTTTCTGCCAATAATTAAATATCATACCTGATTCAACATTTGAGTTCCAGTTTCACGTTTAACATATATGCTTTTGTACACTTATCATATTCGTACTTCATGAGATTGATTATATCCATGAAAATAGCACTTCGTTAATCGAGTCGATTCTATTTTTGACAAACTTTAATGTGAAATTTTTCAAGCATCATTATATTATGAACTTGGACATTCTTACAAAAATTTTTTTTTTGAATCTCGGGTCATTGTTTTTGGATAATTCAATTGACATATCTTCATGAATTTTTTATTTCAGTTTTATACATCATAATTACAGAGTCTTGTAGATATTTTTCTTTCACTTCAAAAACTTAAGTGAAAGTTAGTGCATTATATTCAATAAAATAAGTAAATAATGAATTTTCAATCTTCGATGATATTAAAGACGAATTAGTTAAGAAAAATCATGGGCGAGGTTTCTTCAAAGAAAAAGACGCGACATGTTTTGAAAATAAGAAATATTTCAAAGGTATATGATTTATTTCTGCAGAAAATTTTTATAAAAATTATGGTAGGGTGTGATTGTGACTCTACTTACCCACACACATCACATGAACAGCCTTGTATTCTGTCCTTACTATTTTGACAATGTGAAGTGTCTTACAGTGAATAACATCGATAGTGCTTTATTGAAATGACTGCACACACACACATGTAAATTGTCCTAATATCAAGCAAGTCGCTCTTAGACACGCAAAAAATGATTATTGAATTAAATACACTGCTGACATATGTCACAAATATGAATTCACTTTATATGAAAGTAGATCTACTTTTGGCTAATATAAATGTTTTCATGGGAACAACGAATTGTGTAAAAGATCTTAACATATCTATTCGTAAACTTGGATTCAGCCAAGAAAATATTTTTATTATTGTCAAGTATTTCCTTACATCGAGCATCTCAAAGGGATACATAAAGTTTACAGAACATTGCACTACTGAAGAAATATTTGCTGCATCTTCGCAGTCTTACTTTCCGCATCGAAAACAATTATAGTAGGTTTTTTGATGATTATAAGAGAAAAAAAATGGGAATATAATCGACAACAACAAACTAAATTTTTTTTCCAAGTTACAGATAATACAATGATAGTTTGGCTGGACCAAGCTGCATTTGAAGAACTATACCGACGGAAATTCATGGTGGAACCATCTCAGCCAACGACTCAGGTGTGAGTTGGAATGGGTGAGGATGCTGATTAAGACAAGACAACCACACTCGTCCACACTAACCCGTACACGCACCCACACCCACACCCTACAATTCAGTTCCACATACTATATTGCAGAAAAAATTAAAACAAAAGCGAAAGTGATAGTTGTTCATATTGGAATCAAATGAATAGAGTAAAAAATAAAATCAGGAAAATATATTGTGCTTAAATTGGACATGAGAATATTTTTCAAATGAAATTGAAATTTGATCGTAAAAGAGAAGTTACCACAATTACTGCTTTTATAGGTTCCTGTTCTGTATAATATTTTAATAATACAATTATTTTAGTGTCCTTTTTTGTTCCTTTTGGTAGAAATGCGTTAACCAAATAGAGGTTTTCCTCTTCGTTCTTTAAGAGCCATGAAAACGAGAAGAACAATGGTTCCCGTTAAAGAAACTGCTAGTAAGATAAGCGCAGCCAGCACACCCCCAGGTATTTTGGTATTAGACTGATTTGCCACGTGTTCATTATTAATTTTCTTTGTAATAAACAAAGCTTCTGTTCCATATGTTAAACAACTTAATTTGAATATTTCACTAATTGGACGAGTATATCCTATGCATGTATTGTTCGTACAACTTTCATAGCCACTTGCCGTATTCGCTTTTACGCAATCTGAATTACTTGTACAAGGTTCTTGGGAACCAGTGTATACATTGTCTATAAGAAAATATGGTTCTGTCATATAGACACGTCCTCTTAGTAAATTTGCAGTTGATGATCTTGCATAAACTCGTCGAACGTTAGGTCTTCCGTATGCAATACCATCGGGTCCCCTCAGTTGCGCGAATTCGTCCAGAATTGCATTTAAGTATGCTGAATGAAATGAGAACTCTTGATCGCCTTCATCGGGTTTAGTACTGTTTAAATTTCCAAAAGAACCTACCAGTACAATACTTTTTTCTAATACAGTTTTTAGTAAACCTGTAGCTTCGACACGATTTGGAATAGGAAATTCATCGGTATTGTCAATTTTACAAGTTCTCACATCAACTATATTTTCATGATATTTCGCAGCTAAATCAAAATCTATTCCTTGTGCTTGCATTCTCATAATAGCTAGATTAATTGCATTTCGAAATTCTTTTCCTGATGCTTCAATAGCAGCGCCATGAGGATATTCGCTTGAAACATCTGGTAATGTAAAAATTGCATGACCTTCTATAATACCACTTCTAATAACATTCAAAACAGTATTGTCTTCTTCTGAAATCCCTATTAAACATCCGGCTATATAAGAACCATTCTTTACACCTTGTATTATTAAGGAGTTGTTATTAACTAAAGTATAATTGAAATGAACTCCTTTAAATAAACTTCTAGTTGACACAACATTAGCATTTGTATAGAAAGCGATAATTGAATTGTTTGATTGATTTAAAGCTTGTCTCAATTTTTCCAGTGAATCTAAATTATCATTTTCCAATTGAGCCAAATTAAATATACTTTGCAGATATAACAATCTCAAAAGCAAGCCATTTTTGCTTTTACAATTCATTATTGTTGTCATCATTACCTTGTATCAATTTGTTAGAGTTGGTTGTAGCTATTTTTCTTTAATAGATTGAAAATGAACTGTATTTTTATTATTATAGATATGTATATATATAAAATAGGGAATGTCTAGCACACTTTACTTGTCAGATTCTTCGTAAATGACAACTTACTGAAGATATATGTATGATGATTTCTATAGCTCTCAGTGTTACATAGAAAACCGAGGTGCAACTAATGCTTTACGCACACTGATTTCAGCTTTTTATAAAGAAACTTTTTTTTTTGAACCGATATAGATTTAGCGCATTATCTACACAACCAGTTTTTTCGTTAACAAATAATAACTGAAAGCTCGTTTATGTACAATTCAACGCAGAATATGATTGCTACATTTTATTCATAAGTATTTTTCAAAGATCCTATTCTCATATGTTATTTCTACCTTATATTATTAATTTTATTTAATATTAATAGAAAATTTTCTTTTTCAATTTCAACTTTGCAGTACACCAGTAGAAAGATATTGAAAAGTGAACAAAACTATATAATATTTTTGAAAATGGATCGTCTGAATTCAATTTTCGAACGGTGTGCAAGATTTTGCATTGATATTATTTTTCCGTATTTGAAAAAAAATCAGCAGTAAGATGAAAGTTTAAACTTTACAAACTCAAAGCTTCCAAATTATGAAGTGTAAAATAACAGGAAATGGCTCAGGAATTAAAACTCAAGCTAGAATTCCGCCCCCTATCATGAATGAAATTTTTGATTGTCGGAGTAGTTTCACAGGTGAACACAAAGAGATCTTCGACTCTTTTAGTTTCCATAGCTCCTGACAATTCATAACGAATATATCGAGTCATAGTTCATTGGAAAGACAATTGTGCTGACTACAAGATAGTATAGTTTTTTTGTTTGCTACATTCGATGACCATTTCGCGTTTGTACTGACTTGACGATATTCGTACCAGAATATAACATCGATTCTCCCGAAATAGCACAAGAATAACACCGTTCAATAGAGAATGGTCATCATTTTGAGAGTCAAACAATAAGGAATAAATATTGAAGGCGAACATATAGAACTGCTATCAAAGTCATGGAATTTTCTTAACAGAAAATCACTGGCGATTTATGTAATTCGAACTTTCACCAGCACTCAGTGGACATCATCAAAAATGGCATTAAAAAATCTGCTGACTGTTCTTAAGAGAGGCAGCGTGTAATGATAGCAAGTAGATTCATCAATTCGTTCCGAACGGACGAACGAAGAATGGGTGAGAGTGAAGAAAAGACCAGATCCGCACTCTCACCCTGCAAAGAATCGAATTCTCTGCAACTCTGTTCTCAGGTTGAGCTCGAAAAAACTGTTAGATATGTGAAATCAATCGAAATTTGGCATTGCATTGCTGGTTGTAAAAACAATGCGTAGCACAGCGCAAGTGTACAGTCAAATAGCTTCTTTAATTTTCTTCATTCGCGAATACCAGATGATTGACAATTTTCTGTAAAACTCATTTGCAATGAGCTCCGAATAACAGATTTTGCCAGTTAGCTGCGATGTTAGGGAATGATCTTTCATTTTTTTTGTATTAATTTCTTAGTATTAGACATTTTGCAAAAAATTATGCAGATGGGGCTAAACGTTTGAGCTTCAAACACGAAATCAAATATGAAAATTACAAATGGTAACATGGCACATTCCAGGTGGGCAAGCTGCTCAATTCATAAGCTGAAGGTCTGATAGTCAATATTCTATGTATTCACTCCTTTAATGTTCTGCTACTTAGATTCTCACATGATCCTTTGAAGATCACCATTATATCCTTATAAAATATTGATGAATTACTTCTAAGAAACATAAGAAAGTGATGTGATGTGGGATGAAATTACTATGAAACTTACTCCAATTCTGGTCAACGAGGACTTATCAAAATTCTGATTCAGTCCTCTTCGACATGTAATGTAAAATGGAGCAGGATCCTGATAGAATTCTATCTCAAAATCTTGTCACGATAATGCACAGTCCGTGATAACAAGTTTTTCTCAGGAAAACATGGTGATTTCTGACAGGATTTGGAGCTGAAAATACGAGATTCTTACTAGGTTTGAAAAATTGTTCACAATTCAATTTTGTAGACCGTACGGATCACTATCGAAATCACCATTTGGATATCTTTAGTAAGAAGTCATTGACAGTGAATCTACAAACGTACAAAATGTGCTTAACCATCTCCTTACTTTATATATATATATATGAATCGTGTTTAGCATCTAAAAATATGCGCCATGCCTGATAACATGACAAACGTAAATACACTTATTACTGTTGTTACTGCAGATATATATTTCTCTTTGTTCTAGCGCCGGTTGTCGTACTGCGCCATATATATTTGTGTTGTTCTCCAGCTTATCTTTAAAAGAGTAAAAAAAAGATACTGAAAGGGAGTCGAATTCAGAGTGTGTAGGTGATGTTGATTGTAGTTGGCTGTCGGGCTTCTCTTCACACACATCCATACTCTGTAATAATCAAGATATAATTCGATAGGTTTACCACTGTTTTGATCAATATTTACTTACAACCTCATAACAACTATTTCCTATGATAAGTTTTGAACAAAATATATTTTAAACTCTAACGATAGAGATTCAAACAAAGCGGAAAACAGACTTTTGGTAAGATCGAGGCTTCTAAATGACTTCTGCGATTATTTTTCTTAAGTTTGTTCAACTTATTTATATCAAAGCTTTTTATTAAAACATGCTTTAATCCTTTTAGTATTAAATAAATTATTCTGGTCAATTTTCGTATTGATCAGTTATTGCTCGGAGTGTGGGTGTGGGGTGTGAGAGTAGTTGAGTGTGGGTGTGGGTGTGGGATGTGGGGCGTGCGGATCAAGAAGAGACTTCATTCACACCAACACCCCACACCTACGTACGATCACTTAAAGCCTTTTCCGCAAACTGTAAACCAATCTTTTCTTCGTTGCTTGTTTATAAGTGATTATTGAACGATAGCAATCCACCTTTTTTTGTTTTAGTTTTTCGAATTTTGCTGGCGTCATAGCTTGACCACGATAGACGTTAAATTCTTTTGAAGATTTGTTCAATTGTTGCATATGAAGTTCTTCAATGTGTCGATGTAAATCGCAAATAAAAAAAATACCATTCTAATAATAGCATCGAATTCTTGTTCACGAAAAGCACAGTTAAGTGTATACTAAATGAAATATTCATAAGTATACAGTGACTCATTGCCATGTTTCCTGCTGAAATTTTTGAATGTTTTCCAATTGTTTCTGATTGTTAAAAGGTTTATTACGATGATAGTTAACTAAATTATGAGAACTTTGATCATTATTTTCGAGTTCAAGAAGAATTTCTGTAATTAATTGTGTATACATAAACGATTGGTCAAGTTGATTCAAGCATTGACCAGAGACATCATTTGCTGAGAATAAATATATACCTATAGAATCTTCTTCATATTGATGTGCTACTTGTTGCAATAATTTATAAATATTGGTAGTAGCTGTACAAATATCTCGAACTTTAAGTCAATTTTCCTCTAATTATTCATATTTCGACTTGTTCTCGCAAAACATGAAGCCTGCTATCCGCTGAGACATGTTATGAATACATGGCAAGATATGTTGCCCTAGATTACTAGATACTAACATTAATACTTTTTGTTTTTTAATTTTGTTTAGATAATTAACACATTGATTCGTTTCATTAAATACATGAATATTATTTATGATTGATTGTAGTTGTGTGATTGTATTACGATAATGTTCATCATCTCAATGAATGTTCGTACCTAACCAGAAGAGAGTATTATATTGAATAATAAAAGACGCGTCTGAAGGTTGCAATAGTGTTTCAGGAGTATTCGATAGTTATGTTTGTTTTGTTGCTAGTTTAGCTTTAGTAGGAGGATTGAGTTGTTTAGATTTTGCTCCACTGGAGATATTATTGACGGTGATCAGTTTCTTTTTGTCCATGCTGTGTAATAGCTCTTAAACAAATAAACATTAAATGAATCGGAACGCGAGCGATGAAACTTTATAGATTCCTTTTTTTAATGATTTTCTTTTAATATTTATGGTAAGAGAATTGTTTCTTTTTGTTAACTGGGAATTCTGATTGGTCTGATAGAAATATTTTGCTTCGAATAATAAGAACTACCGATATAGATATGCATTAAAAAATAAAACAAAACAAAGAGAGTTGAAAAGAGCTGTTATGGTTTCATAGAAATAAGTAAGACTGATTGAAACTCGCTTTCTCAGCATGCAAGCACTTTTTTATGTCTTTATGAAAAAGATTTGACTGTGTTTCAAGGTGTTCTATCTGTAGTATCTCTTATATCTGGATATTCATGAATATGTTCAGGACTTAAATAAATCTTCAGAGAATCGATAGGAAGTATCATCTATATAACTAATTATATGTTACTTTTACTATTAAGAAAAATCGTTTTGAGTTTCAAATTTTCAGAGGCAACCATTGATTTTTGGAAGCGTAAGTTTTTTTTTTTTTTTTTGATTGAAAAATAAGAAAGGCAGTATTAGGTATACATTTTCTGTTTACACAGTACGTGCTTATATAAAACCTTTCATTAACAGTAAAAAAAAATACAATAAGAAAATAACTTTTTCTCCGTTCTTGTCTTTTGTTCCAAGTTGTCGAAATCAGAGTAAAATTAACAAATAAGCAACTTTTTTTTGTAGTTTTATGGAGAACTATCGATCGTAAATTATTTTTATATTTTCATAAGGAAGATGGGTGCTGGTTGCTGCTGTAAGAATGACCCTGTGCAATCTACATTTAATCCTGCTGTAGACAGAACCCAAATTCCCCCTGTAACACTTGAACGTGAGACTATATTGACTAGAATGAAAATTCCACCTGAAATACTTGACTCTGAGAATGTATCGACTGGAACCGATATTCTACCTATAAAACCTCAATCCAAGACTATATCGTTTAAAATGCGAGACGACTTGGCAATGGAACGATTTTCACAACTTAGCATTAGTACAAGTGATCCTTTGAGACTGATATATGGTTATCTCAATGAACCACTTGCATCTCTCGAAGAAGCTCTTCAACCATTCCATGATCAAATTGATCAATTATCTCACTTTATCAAAGAAGCTAAAACAGAATGTTACTATCCATCAGAACATAATTTGACACGTGATGAATCAGCTGCTATCTATATTTATACAATGAAATGGGCTAACCACTGTCTCTATGATCATTTACAAGAAGCATGGAAAACTGAAGATCGAGCTACGATGAAAAGATGGTTCAAATATTTGAGATTATTTAAAAGTGCATTCGACAAATTACCGGATTCGAAGAGAAAAATTTGGCAAGGAGTACCTTTTGATGAAAAACTCATAGAGAAACTAAATTCAAAATCATCATCACTGTACATTTCTATGGGTTCATGTTTACCATCATCTAATGAAATTAAAGATTATCTCCAAAACAATTTTAGCAATAAAATAATTCTTATTGGCTATGAATCTGTCAAAGGAAAGTCAATAGCTGATTATACAGCGAATTCATGGAACGAACACATGGTATTTCCCGGTATGAAAATTGCGAAGGCAAATTTCAGCGTAAGAGATGCTAATGGTTCAGTGATTTATCATTTAAAAGGACAGAATGGTAAGTAGAAATGTAATGTAGCCATACTCTTTTCTATTTGTTTCTATTGCACTATTTAATATATTAGAAAAGCTTTTGTAAGTATGTTAAAATCTGACTATAGGGAAACAACGGGTTCTACATTAACCCTTTCATGGCGGGATTATTTTTAGTGAAAAATTTGTTCGTATTTAATTGAACAGTAGTCCTTATTATGGTCTGTAAGAAGCTTGCGCGTTTTAAATTTGAAGTAGTCTTTCCTATTGATGGAAGCCCCAGCATCCAATGGGCTCCGCTCTTTATAATATGACATTTATTAGAAGTATCTGAATATACAATAGGTCTTACCACAGGACACTACGCATAAGCAAATATTGCACTATCTGCATTCGTAGATCGTTTTCGTTTGCTGTTTTGGATCACGAATTGTGATGGTTTGATGGTATCATAGTATAGCACCAGCAGAAAGAAAAAAAGCGGTCAGAATGTTCAAATATAAGCCCTACAAAACTAAAAGAAACTTACTATTTTCGAGATTTTTGTCACGTAAGCCGTAAACGAGTGTTGACAGTTTTGCATTAAAAGTGCTTGTTTGCTGGAAAAGTTCTGTCGTTTCCAGTCTATCTCGTTATAATAGATAGAACTCGTTAGCTACTAAAATCAATTTGCACTTCAAGTACAATTTGGTACCTGTGTCAAAGGAAAAATGTCACCGTCCCACATTTGGGACACCCTCCACGAAAGGGTTAATTTGTTACAATAAATGTACTAGATAAATAACTTTCCTTGATAATAAAGTATAGATTACTGATTCTACATTTATATTTAGATGATTCTGTGCCAGACAAGAACGACATACCAAAAATGGAAAAACATTTCATATGTGCAAAAAAGGGTCATAACTATTCACTTACCACGCAATATTTCATTGCGTCATAACGTAGCATTTTTTACTTTTCAAAGAGCGACGTTATTAAACAAATAGTTTGTAGTAGTCAAATTTGTTCTTATATCAAGTCGCAGTATTCTGTTTTATTTTTTCTTACACATATTTTGAGACGTGGAAAATATTTGAAAAGAAGCATCATTGTCGTCGTAATCATGATTCGCATCTTTGTCACGGATGTATTTTTCTTTCGAAATGATCACCTCTCCTATGATTGTCTATCATACCATGAATTTCATATCTTTATTTTAAAAAGTGTAAAATAAACGAACAGAATCTTTTTCATACTTGGGGAAAATGTTGCCGTCTTACCTATAGGGATTGTTCATAATTCATGTGGAAGTCGATGATGATGACGAAGTTGTCTAGAAACTCTTGTGTTTAGATGAAAAAAATTAGTGAATGAATGACAAATGCGATAAATGTGGTGACAATAAAATTTATTCATTGATGATGTAATCCTTATTCATATAATCAGCTTCGAATTATTGTTTTAAATGAAAAAAAGTAGATAAATATTGTTATTTTACTAATTCGATTGAATGTAGGAGATGTCATAATCGTAACAAATATTCAGCTTTCATGTCATCATCAACCCATCTTCTCTGTTCAATCTGTTGTTTTGAAGAGAAGCAAAGTAACTGAAGAGAATGTTTTTTGTAATAAATGCTGTTTTCATAGGCATTTATTTATTATGATTGTCACGATCAGAATATGAATAGTAGACCATGTTTTTGCAAAATAGTAAAATAAGTGAACAAATGTTTAAATAAACTATGATCGGATCAGTTGTCGTCACGAATCAGTAGAATTAAATGTTGTGTATTTTTAGTCAAGTTGAAAATCTATGCTCAATTGGAAGCATAATGTTTTGTAAGATCAACCATTTGCGAAAGCATCCATGAGGGAGAGCAATCAACAGAGGCACTAGTTAAAATTTTAATTTTGAACTCATTTGGATCTACTATGCTGAAGTTAGTTATCATTGACTTTCGAGTACTATCAACCTATTATTAAGAAAGTTGTCGAAAATCATATTACCCAAAGGATATAACATTAATAGCTGAAAGAAATGAACTATTTAATTTTTCACATATTGTATACTTGATAGAATTTTGCAGTCGAACATAAGTGAAAAAGGTCACAATTTACAAATTCCTGATCGGTGATGTTTGACAGTTTATCTATTAACATCTTCAGAACTCAAGACATACCAAGCTGAATTTCTTCACATGTTATGTAACTTTTCATTGTCTACAAAATGTTTTTAAAAAAATTTCCCAGAAAACTTTAGCTTCAGAACAAAAACGGACTTCAGATATCTCTTCTGCATCGTAAAATGTGACAATGGCAGTTATTGTCAAGAACTACATTGAGTCAAATACATTTTAGAGAAGTGTTTTTCCTGCAAAAATATCAGCTGTCGTCTGCTGACGAGGTATGTTCAGATTTCCAAAAAACAAATCAAAAGTTTTTAGACATATTAGAAATTTTAGTAATTTTAGAAATTTCTGTAAGTATGTCATTGTGGAAATTTCAGAAATTTTGGAAATTAAATTATTTTAGGAAGTAACGTACAATTCCTAACACAAATGCTTGAAATCTCCGAAACTTTCGAAATTTCCTTTTTCGAAAGTCAGAACACTGCTGTTATTTTGCCATAAAGTAAAAGTCAAATTCACGTTGAAATAATTGATGTGTCGAAAAGAAAAGCTCAACGATACTATAAAAAGCAGAACATATTTGGAATCAGTTCTGTAATATTCATTTATCAATGTCTGTCGTTTATAATTATTTGTGTTAATTTCAATGTTAGTTTTGCCAACAGTATACACTCTTTAAGGTAAGTATATATTATTCGACAAGAAAGGAATAAAACAATTTCACATTAGATTCTTGTTAGATGATAACGTGAGATGTATATAAATATAGGAGCTGATGTGCCTATGGCAGCAATGACAAATCACATCGCAACGTTAAGTGTTTGACATAGCTCTTGTTTTTTTTTCCTATAGTGACCTTGAAACTTTTCAATTTTATTGATGACATCGCACAAATCACTTCAATTCGGTAAGCAAAAGAATATTTTTGAAAGTTAGCTATAAAGAGACCATGTAAAGAGTAAATACTTGATATGATTATAGTTTCACAAATATATTATGTGTTGTTAGTGCTTGAATAAAGTCAAACTGTATAATACTGCTGAGATTACACTAACGATGAAAATATTCGAACTGATTAATCGCTTTCAAGTTTAAACAATATCTATCGTGTAAATCCTAATGATCTATAAATATCTTGACAACATTTCTGGTCCATAGCTTATTTTTAAGATTTTTTTTTTCAAATCAATACTGCAGTTACCCTCATGAATACAAGGAAAACTCATTTTCAAATTTTAATTTGAAACTCTGCATAGAGATCGATTCTGACGAGCATAGTTTAATGTGAAAGTTTCAGATCTTATTGATTTTCTTCTTTTTTTTCTGAAATAAGAGCATCAAATCTGCCAGTATATATGAGCAGTGTAACAGACACGTTTTTATCATAGCTCTATCGTAGGATAGAAAGAACGAAATGGTTTGACACTTTTATAACGAATTATTTTCGTTAAAATCTTTCTCTGTGCAACGTTTCAAATCGAAAGTAGAAAATTGGTTTTGCTAGTGTTTCTGAAGGACCACTACAGCACTAACAAAAGAAAATACCGTAGAAATACAATATCTCACCAGCAATAAGTTAAGTATTCGAGCTCTTTTCAGTGTAGTACTCTTAAGACTTTGATTTAAGATTAACATTTTTATATTTGTAATCAGAGCTTTTGACTAAATCTCTTTGATAACAGTACTCTTACACCGATAATTTCGACTGCCATGTCCGTGAGTATTATCGACGCCCTACAAAAATCAAGATATCTTTTGTTTCTTAGTAATTGTTTATGCAAACCATAATGCAATCTCGCTTGTCTGATCTGTAAAAATTTTCGGTAGTATATTTTTCTTGAATTGCCTAGTGAATATGTAGAAATCTTCTTTTAAAATGATTCATCGTTAATGAAAACATATTGAACTGCGAGACATCAACATACAATATGTATACCAAGTAAAAAACAAAAATGTTGTTTATTTTCTACCTTTATGTATTTTCTATAAATAACTGTCCACAGAGATACACGAATGAGCAATCTATTTTGACGATTGGTTACCTTCGTTAGAGAACGACTAATAATTAGGCTTGATGAGTGCAATTAAGGATGTCGCACAAGACAGAATATTTCGATTAATAGTTTCATGAGGCACTTGTTTTCTTTCCGCATTGCTAATACCAACGTTATTACTTTCATGTTGTTCTTTTGATATGACTCATCATCGGCAAATAAATAATTCGCTATGTTTGTTCAGTTTTTCATACTTAGCTGCATGTTGGTGACAAATGCCGCATAGCCTCTTGTTAAAATATTCTATAGCAAAATAACTATCAAATTTCTAAGCGTTTCTTTTCCTAGGTAATTTGTAACATAACACTTGGGATAAAATGTTTCGAAGAAATTTCCAAGTATTAAATTCCTAATGGAAATATCTATTATCGTTCGTTTACAGATGACATAAAAGGTATTCTTCCTTTCTTTCACTTCTCTCTTTCTCTTAATTTTGTTTTAATCAAATTTATAACTTGTATATAATTATTGCGAAATCTATTCTTCCGTAGGAATATACATTTAGTATCATTTTTTTTCCTTATCATTAGTCATCATGTTGGATATTTCTTATATAGTTTCATGAATTTACCAACTATGCATGTATTAAAGATCCGTTTTCCTTGAAAGTGAGCCACTTACGTACTACGGTTAATAAACATACACTACCTCTTTTTCATTCATCTGTTTTAGACTAATCCTATCATATTATTTGACAAGCTTTTTCAAAAGTATATCAAAGCGAATAGAAATGGTAACAAAAATTATTGTTCATCTTTTAACATATTATTGTGAATCTGAAATGAAATCAAATTATAAATTAAACCTGTTCCTGCAATAGAAGACTTACTTCCATTAATTTATTTGCTCGTAAGATTAGAACTTTACTTAGTATATTTATATCAAATATGAGTAGTTTTCAGAGTTTCACTCTGAAAAGGGTTAAAAGATTGAAGTAAACATTATTTTTAGGCTTTTAAAACTCTAAGAACCTCTTCGAAAATCCGTTTTAGTTAAAAATTATTGAGATACAATAGAAGACTCGGAGTTTTCTATTGTGGGAAAGAGTTTACACAACTTACATGCAGATTGTAACATGATTTGATGCCAAATATGCAGTATTCTTTAGGAAACTGTAGATGTTCAGTTCTTTTCATCAATTTTCGATTATAATTATAATAGAAAAAAGATTATATTTTGTTTTTCAAAGTTATAATAACAACTAAATAGGATGTTTATGTTAGAATTTTATGCTAATAACAATTACATACACTTCTTTTTAAACAGCGTTCAAAGATCAACAATAATTTTTCGTGTTTCTTCTATAAGCCATTTTCAGGTGATGTTATTATTTTTATTTGTGGATTTCTGATATTTTACTACTATATTACATTTATTGACTTTTTTTATTTCTTATCATTACTTCTATAATATGTTATTTTCAATTAGTTAGGATCTTTCAAGATCTGTTACTCAATATGCGTCATGTCAAATTCAAAAGCCTAATATTTGTCTTGACACATAAACATGCTTAATACCGTTACTATTGACAGGTCATTTTCCAATCGATGAAGAGTCAAATATTTGTAGATGAATGTGACTCATACTTTTCCAACGACTCACTATTACTGTTCGTTCTGTTGCTTTCATGATGTCTTGAAACAACACATACAAATTCAGGAGTTGAAATAACAAAAGCAAGCCAACAGAAAAGAAACTGAGTCCAAACAATCATGGGATATTTTTGCAATGATTATTCAGCATATTTTCGAATAATTACTATTTGATTTAATGAGAAGTATAAAAATGGTATGAATTTTAATTTGACATGTGTGAACAATCAATTGTGACATTATAAAATTCAACTGGTTATTTACAAAATTAATAGATTCAATTTATTTCATGGAATTTTTCAGTATAAATTATATGTGAACACCCAACAGAATTGTTTCTATACAAGAAAAATATGAAAATAAATATTTTTCGATCATGAACAATAATCATATTAATAACGGCTAAATTCAATCCATTTCAAATTAAATAATTGATAAATAATTCGATATTAACTAATAGCAATAGTTTGAATAAATATAATCGTTGATGTTCTTGATTTAATCTTTTTATTCAGCTAGTTTTGTTCTGTTGTTATTTTCATCATGATTTCAAAATCTAGCATAATGTCAGAACGATTGAAAAACAACAATTTTTCATATTTATATTTCAGATATTATTACTGATCCAAAATAGAGAATTGACACATTAATAGTCAACTTCGAGCATGGTAGTCCAAATGAATTATCCTGGTATGTATATACATACATATATATATATACTATGCTGCATTATTTTTAAAATAATTTTAAAATATTCTTTCGAAAAAATCAAATTGATCATATTCTATATGACTTATTTATTTTTGTTCTAAACAAATGCTGAATTTTTTTCATATATGAGTATTATTTTTTGTATTTATTTAGAAATTGATACGAACAACGTTGATAGCCAGGTCCATTCTATAACAGATAGTAATGATTCACAGAATTCTCCTCTCGATTTATCAAAAACCGGTAAATTCTATCGATGTCTTTCTCGATCACCTGATGTTTTATGCGTCAAAACTAATAATACTTGCGATAGACAAATGCTATTAAGTCATTTATATGATGCACCAAAACTTTTAACAGAACCAAAATTAGACTGGCATTATCGAAGTATAAAAGATTTAGCAAAAAAACATATTCCTTTTCTATCTGGTGATGGCCCTCAACGAACACCAATCCGAATAACAGTAAGCTTTTAATCATTATAATGACAAGTTATCGTAGAAAAACTTATATAATTTTCAGGTTCCTAACGAATATTCTCGACTGATGTATGTTAAAATATCAGTTGTGACTCATGATATGCAGCCTCATGAATCTAAAGTAATTGTACCACCAAAAACAATAGTGCGGATGGATCAAATTTCTCGTGATAATAATCTAAACTGTTTGAATTTCGATGAATGTAATTCGATCGACTATTTTGATCCAATCACAAGACACATCTACTTACAGATTACTCCGACAGAGCATAGTGCTCAATTAAAAGAGTAAGTGATTGAACTTGTTTTTTTTTTCTTGACGATATTACTATTAATTTTATGTATTTCGTATATAGAATACGAATTCACATGTTCAATTTATATCAAAATCAATGGATAACAAAAGAAAATATCGAAGCCAAACAACTTGATTTATGTAGACTTGCATTTCAGTTATGCATTGTTGACAATGAACGGTATATACCTGTATCTCCAATATCATTTACTTCCATTATCCGAGAACGTAGGTGTCTTTGATTCTTTCTTTGATTGCACTAGTCTTTCTTCTGTATAGAGAAAACGATCACTCGGTCTCGCGTGCCCCAGTCGATACTCAATCAACAATATTCTACTGTTCCATGTTCAATAGAATCTCCAGATAATTATCTCAGTCAGGACAATAAGGGTGGTGATAATGATAATGATTTTGATGTTTCATGGTCAAGCTATGGATGCAACAGTAACGATGGGCAACCATCACCGTTGCATTCTTAAGTCAACTCTTTCTGGTATGCCGCTGTGATGCATTTGCGAAATATTTTATATTATATTTTTGAATTTATTAAGTTTTTGTTTTGTTTAATAAAAATTGCTCTATAATATATGCTTCTACTCATTAGTTTGATTGAAGAATCAAAGATCAAATGCAGATAGGTTTTCGATCCCTATGTAACTATCATAACTATTGTTAGCGTTTCCTTCCTCTTTCCTTTCTG